ACAGTAGAATGTCATTGAACAATACATCTTAAGGTCATAAAGACCCCGTGTATCCACTTGTTATATAAAATACAGTTATAATTACAGTAGAATGTCATTGTACAATACATCTTAAGGTCATAAAGACCCCGTGTATTCACTTGTTATATAAAATAAGGTTATAATTACAACACATTTCATTGTTCAATACATCATAAGGTCATAAAGACTTCGTGTATTAACTTGTTATATAAAATACAGTTATAATTATAACAGCATGTCATTGTACACTACATCATAAGGTAAAAAAAAACCCGTGTATTCACTTGTTATAAAAAATACAGTTATAATTACAACAGCATGTCATTGTGCACTACATCATAAGGTCAAATAAACCCCGTGTATTCACTTGTTATATAAAATACAAATATCATTATAACAGCATAACATAGTACATTACATCATAATGTCATAAAAACCCCGGGTATTCACTTGTTACATAAAATACTGTTCTAATTACAAAAGCATGTGATTGTACAATACATCATAAGGTTATAAACATCCCGTGTATTCACTTGTTATAAAAAATACAGTTATAATTACAAGTGGAAAACTTATTGGTTTCTTGTATATTAGATAAGTAAGTATCTCATTCATTATTTATTGATAGAATACTATTTTGTTTCAGGATTATATCAGAAAAGTATCTTGTACTTTGTTGGTTGTTCATTATAGACTTGTTACTATAAAACACTGGTGCAGTGTGGTCAGTAATCATTACTATAAAACACTGGTGCAGTGTGGTTAGTAATCATTACTATAAAACACAGGTGCAGGGTGTGGTCAGTAATCATTACTATAAAACACAGGTGCAGTGTGGTCAGTAATCATTACTATAAAACACAGGTGCAGTGTGGTCAGTAATCATTGTAATGATTACTGACCACACTGCACCAGTGTTTTATAGTTATAAAACTGGTGCAGTGTGGTCAGTAATCATTACTATAAAACACAGGTGCAGTGTGGTCAGTAATCATTACTATAAAACACAGGTGCAGTGTGGTTAGTAATCATTACTATAAAAAACAGGTGCAGTGTGGTCAGTAATCAGTGTTTGAATCCATATTTGGATAATTTCATGTCAGCACCTGATATATGTGCAGGGTAAGTATATTAATATGCACTCAAACCTTCCTCCATCCCCACTCCATAATTTTAAAAGCTGTTTTATAATTTAGTAACATAATGATTTTATACAAAAACTTGTTTATTGATAAATGTGTAATCAGAGTAGAGTTCATTGATAAATGTGTTAAGTATAGTAGAGTTTATTGATAAATGTGTAAGTATAGTAGAGTTTATCAATAAATGTGTAAGTATAGTAGAGTTTATTGATAAATGTGTAAGTATAGTAGAGTTTATTGATAAATGTGTAAGTGTAGTAGAG